TTTCTGTGCATGTTTATGAAGCAATGTGTTTGGATCATTTTACTATTAAAATTTTAAATGGGCTTTGCATTTGTAGGCTCATATGCTCTTCTTTTAGCTAACTTTATATACTACTTCCTTAAAATGTGAATATCCCAATTAAAGGCCTGTGATAATAAGCACCCCTGCTAATTTCTAATCCATCTGAGGTCACCTGAGTTACATAAAATCTTTGTGTCTGTTTCTACATCTATATTTGCCTAAATATCTTTCAGACGTATAATAAAATCATGTTCTCATATAAGAATTATAATGAACAAAAAGTATAGATATTACTACTTGACACATAATATTTATTTATGAGGTTTTTCAAGTTGTATTTTCATTATTGATTTAAAACTAGAAAAAACTTATTGGTTAAATAATATTTTAGTTGTAACAGTTGTTGTAGTCCTTTTTTGGAAAATGCATCAAATCAATAAAAGTATAAAGAATAAAATAACCCACCCACTCAATTGGAGAAATAAAGCCTTCTTTAAAAATTCTGTTTCCTTTCCTTCTGTTCCTTCCATTGAAATAGACATTTACATATTTGAAAGGGAATGTATATGTATTTGTACTTTATGTGTTCTTTGAGTTTGATGATAAACATTTTCACATGTACTCATGAATCCTCAAAAATGTCATTTTTTAAGACCTCATATATTCTATCTTTTAAAAGCATCATAAGCATGCTCCATTTTTTCTATTTTGTTCATTGTTATAATTTTCTTGAGAACACATCTAAAAGAGAATTGTAACTGTTTCTCCTTAAGCCTGGTYCTCAGGAAATGCTACATTACCAGAAATACATGCAAATAATTTAGTGAGAACATTTTGAGAAGATTAATCCACAGTTTCCATGCATTCCAACTTGGAAAAGGCTGATCTTGCATTTGGTATGTTCATTTCAGGAGCTGTTTCCTTGTTTGTTTGATTGGTTGGTTATTTCCATAAAAAAAAAGGAGAACTAGGAAAGTTATATTTAGACTTAGCAGGACATGGTTCTTCCTTTTTTTAAAAAAAAATAGTCATGCTCAGAAACAGTATAGACAAAGAATCAAAGAAGATGAAGAATCAAAGTATGGTGAGTTCCCAGACTGAGGGTTCACATGTCTAGTGCCATCTCCTGAGTCTTCCTAAAGTGAAAAATCCCTTTTATCCTTAAAGAGTTTCAAAATTAAACATTTGACCATGGATTCTTAAAATAGAGGATAATGAATATGAATAGCTTGATTGCATTTTGGGARTGTCTAAACAAGCTCAACACTACATACAGGAAACTTATCCAGAGATATATATATTCTTTCTGGAAACTTGCTGCAAAAGGATTTTATGCCTATCCAAGAAAAAGCGAGAATTTTCCATCTTATAAGTTCTTCTTTGATTTCTTTCTTTAGTGTTTTGTAGTTATCCATTTATTTATTTATTTATTTATTTATTTATTTATTTTTTGTAGAGGTCTTTTACCCCTTTTGTAAGGTTGATTACCAAGGCTTTTATTTTTTGAATCTATTGTAAAAGGGGTAGCTTTCCTCATTTCCCTTTCAAAGGATTTGGCACTGATTTACAGAAATGCCTTTGATTTATGGATGTTGATTTTGTATCCTGCTACTTTGCTGAATTCATTTACTAGTTCTAGAAGTTTTATGGTGGAAATTTTTGGGTCTTCTAGGTATAAAATCATATTATCAGCAAATAGTGTTAATTTGAGTTCTTCTTTTCCTATCCATATCCCTTTAATTTCTTTCGTCTGTCTAATTGCTCTGGCTAGTGTTTAAAGAACTAGGGTAAATAGAAGTGGTGAAATATGGCATCCCTGTCTTATTCCAGTTTTTAGAGGGAATGCTTTCAATTTTTCTCCATTTAGAATGATGTTGGTCTGGGGCTTAGCATTGATAGCTTTTACAATATTGAGATATGTTCCTGTTATCCCTAGTTGTTCTAGCGTTTTGAACATAAAGGGGTGCTGTATTTTGTCAAATGTTTTTTCTGTGTCTATTGAGATGATCATATGGTTCTTATCTTTAAGTCTATTGATGTGATGAATTACATTTATTGATTTCCTTATGTTGAACCAACCTTGCATCCCTGAGATGAACCCCACTTGATCATGRTGCACTCTSTTTTTGGTATGTTTTTGTATTCAATTTGCCAGAATTTTGTTGAGAATTTTTGCATCTATATTCATTAGAGATATTGGTCTGAAGTTTTCTTTCTTTGATGTGTCTTTGCCTGGTTTTGGAATCAGAGTGAATGACCATACTACCAAAAGCCCTATACAGATTTTATGCAATTTCAATAGAAATCCCAATGACATTCCCCATAGAAATAGAAAAAGCAGTCATGAAATTCATCTGGAAAAATAAGAGACCCAGAATAGCCAAAGCAATCCTTATCAAGAAGAGTGAAGCAAGTGGCATCTCTATGCCAGACCTTAAACTATGCAACAGAGCAATAGTAACAAAATAGCATGGTATTGGCACCAAAATAAACTGGTAGATCAATAGGACAGAATAGAAGACACAGAGACTAGCCCACATAATTACAGTTATATTAGACAAAGGTGCCAAAAACATACATTGGAGGAAAGATAGCCTCTTCAACAAGGTGCTGGGAAAACTGGAAATCGATATGCAACAAAATAAGATTAGACCCCTGTCTCTTACCATGCACAAAACTCAACTCAAAGTGGACCAAGGACCTAAGAATTAAACCAGAGACCCTGAGGCTAATATAAGAAAAAGTAGGCCCCARTCTCCATCATATAAAATTAGGCCCCTACTTCCTCCTGTGGCACAAGAAAYAAAACCAAGAAGCAATAAATGGGATGGATTCAAACTGAAAAGTTTCTTCTCAGCAAAAGAAATAATCAGTGAGGTGAATAGAGAGMCTACATCTTAGGAGCAATKTTTTCCACTTRCACATCAGATAGAGCACTAATCTCTGGGTTTATAAAGAACTCAAAAARCTAAACACCAAAAAAYCCAAATAACCCAATCAATACATGAGCCAAGGAACAGAACAGAATMTTCTYAGAAGGTGATATACAATCAATCAACAAATATATGAAAAAGTGTTCAACAWCYCTAGCTATTAGAGAAATGAAACTCAAAACTACTCTAAGATTTCATCTCACTCTACTCAGAATGTTAGTTATTAAGAATACAAACAACAATAAGTGTTGGTGAGGATGTAGGGGAAAAGACACATTTATACATTGCTAGTGGGGCTGCAAATTGGTGCAGCCAGTATGAAAAGCAATATGGAGATTCCTTGAAAAACTTGGAATGGACCACCATTTGACCCAGCTCTCTCTCTCCTTGGTCTATACCCAAAGGGCTTAAAAACARCCATATCAATGTTTACTCAGCACAAATCACAATAGCTAAACTATGGAACCAGCCTAGGTGCTCATAAGTAGAGGAATGGATATATAATATGTGGTATACATATATACATAATGGAACATTGYTCAGCAATGAAAGAGAATAAAATCATGACATTTGCAGGTAAATGGATGAAGTTGGAGAATATAATGTTAAGTGATGTTAGCCAATTCCAAAAAACCAAATGCCAAATATTTTCTCTGATATATGGAGGCTGATTGATAGTGAGGTTGGGAAGGGAAGCATGTGAAAATTGGATGAACTCTAGATAGGGAAAAGGGGAGGGAGGGGAAGAGAGGGAGCAAGGGGTATAAAAAAAAGTGGTGGAATGAGATAGACATCTTTTTCTAAAGTACATGTATGAAGACATGAATGGTGTTAATACACTTTATATAGAACCAGAGATATGAAAAAAATGTGCTCTATAYGTGTAATAGGAATTGTAATGTATTCTGCTGTCATATATAATAAATTAGAATTTAAAAAACAAGGATTTTTGTATTGGTTTATATTCATACATTTATTGGAAAATTATTGGTATTTCATAGAGTCCATAAAGACACATAATCATTCTAAATCCAGGGCAGAGTCTTCAGCACACGGTAATAATTTGTACCACTTAATGCTTCATGATGGGTCAATATCTCCTCCATTGGATAGTAACTATGTCTTGTTTATTTGATCCCCCTGAGACAAGTAAATAGTTCACTGGAGCCAGATTACCTGGGTTCCAACTCCCACCTACTCGGATCAGCTTTGTGATTTGGACCTGAACCACTCAATGCTTCACTTATCTCCTGAGTCAGGTATGCATAATGACAATAGCAGAATTAACCTGACAGCATTGTAAATTAAAGGAGATTAAATATGTGAAGAATCATAATGTTCATCTTCTGGTCTTGGCAGCTTCTTTAACTGGGAGGACCAAGGATTACCAAAATTGTAGGCACAATTAATGGACTCAGCGGCTCGAGCTCTTTTCTGATAACAGAAGCTGGAAGAATCCTCCTCCCCACATCTCCCATATAAAGGACATCTGCTCCATACTAATGTGTCCTAGATATCCCAGCATTCACTTACAGAATTGCAATTCTTAAATTTCTCAGCCTAGTTCAAAAGGGCATGACTTCTTGTCTTTGGGTATCCACCATTAGGCTCCTTTCCTCTAAACTTTAGCTTCTTCATGATGCAGTGGACCAGTGATGGGTACACTGCACAGGGGTTGTCTTGATTATGTGTGACAACAATGATACACTATGAATTCCCTTCTACCTGCACCTTGCACTTACCAAATGCCTCTGGTAGCTGTTATGATGAACATTGGCAAAGCCTGTGCCTCTCAGTCTACAGACAGGGCTAGAACCCCTTCGGAAATAGAGTCAATTGGAGATTTGGAAGCACAATATCTGGGCCTAGCTGTGAACTCCTGTAACCAGGTCCAATGATGGTTTCCTGGAGAGCACAGGAGGGCTGCAGAGAAGGCAGCCTGTGGCTGGGAGCCCAGCTGTGGAGTTGGTTGTGGTAGGAAAGGATGTGGGAGGGCTCAGGCCCAAGGAGAGGATCTTGTGTGGGTTGTCTCAACAATTCTAATACTGTGGACCACCCGGCACAGTAGTACATGGCTGCGTCTTCTTTTTCTATGGAAAATATGGTAAGGACTGAAGACGAAGTTTGAGAATACTTTTTTGCCTCAATTTTGTTGTCCTTTCCATTCAAGGAACCTCGAGCTGGGGACTTTGTTGAAGTAACTTGAATCAGATGCTCCACAGTCTTATTTGGTTTCTTCCAGTACCAGTGAATGACTTCAGTATCAAAACTTGTGCTGGATATCTTGCAATTTATGCTAACACTTTTCTTTATTTCTTTAGAAACCGATATTTCAGACTGCTCCACCTTTGACAATCCAAGTCCAACTGTGAGTTGAAAAGGAGAATATGAGAATATGAGAAGAAAACATGAAAAAATTACTGTAGTCACTCATCAAGAAAGAATGAAATGGGCAGAGTGACTCACCAGCCCAGAAGGAGAGGAAGGTGACAGCTTGCAGCAGTGACATGTTGACTTCCAGGCTATGTCCTCAAGAAGTGGTGGGGACCTGGTRTCTGGATGTCTCAGGTCAGTGTCAGGAGGGCGTGACCTGAACTGGGAAGAGGGAAGGAAAGGGTGGGCCCTTCAGTGCTGACTGCAGACTCAGCATTGCGCTCTTCAGGCCTGCCTTGCGTATATTAAAATAGGGCTAGTGGTCACCATAGGGCTCTTTGCATGAATGTGGAACCAGGAAGGGCCTTAGTTTCTGTGGAAATGCCCAGGAGCTATTTTATGAACTATTTTTCTCAGCATCCTATTTTTGCATGTTGCATATTTAATAAATACTTTCATAATAGCAAATATTCAATGAGCATTTGGTACTTGCTATACTTTTTTTTTTTCAAAATGTTCTCCCCATTTTTAACCTTGGCTATAGTCACACAGTTTGAATACTTGTGGCTGCACTTTAGAATTGAGAATACTGAGGTACAGAGAAGAGAAGGGGCTCCACAAATTCACATGGTTGATAAGCAAAACATGCTGGTGAAGATGCTCATGAAGAAACTCATAGAAACAGGAWAAAAATGGAAACAAAAACATCCATGATTATATATCCAAGACCAACAACTATTATCAGAATGGTGTATTAACTTTTAGATTTTCTTTGTAGGTATATGGATATGAAAATATTTCTGTGGATATAAACATTTATACTCAGGGTTTTGTATTCTTCTGTCGGTACAACAATAGCACCGGAGCATTTTTCAATGTCTACATCTATTAGCTTTCCATCTTTATCACTTAGGAACTGCCTGACGGTTGCAAATTTCTTCACTTCATTGTGTCTGAATTGTTTCCTCTGAAAAGAGATGCAATAATGATATTTGTCTCAAAATTTTATGCTTATTGAATAATATATCTAGTACAGTTCCCAACATATAGTCTATTTTCAGTTTTATTAATTATTATTACTACTATAACTAAAATTTAACATTTAGCATCCCCCTCCTGTCAACCACTTCATTTTCCCACCACTTTCCTCCTTAAAATGCTTTAGTGGTTATTTTGAAGCAATGACCTGCATAAGTCAAGGGAAATCATCAAATATTTTTAGTTATTTCTTTTTTTTTTTTTTTTTTGCATGTCAGGGAGCTGCCCTTTGCTATGTTCTTTTCTTCAGCTAAGCTTCTTCACTTTCATTTTGTGACTTCCATGTGGTTTCCTCTGAAAATTGGGTGTATGAGAGCTCTTTTAGTTCTGGATGGTGGTTGTCCCTGACCTTGTCTGTAGCTTTGTCAATTCCCATATGTGGCAGGTGTGAACTCAGTCTCCACGGGGCCTCTGTTGGAAAAAGGAAAGGAACGGGTTGGCTCAGATGGCTATATTTTCCCTCTGAAGTAGCTGCCCCATATTCTCTGTTTCCCAATAAATATCATTTCTGAGGCGCTCAACACTGAAAGCTGAGTATGGAGGGAAGAAGTCACTAATCCAGAAGGTCCATGGGCTACCATTAAAAGAACTCATGCTACTCTCACACAAGTGTTTTTCCCGACTATAGAAAGATGATAGAGAGGGACACCAATGGAGTCTGCTTCCTGGGTCTGTCTGCAGGCATTGGTGTGGGGCTGTGGGTACTGATAGCACAGGGGTGTCCATAGCTACACTGGAACTCACTAGGTCCCCAGTATACTCATGGCTGACAGACARGTCCTCCAGACCCTTCAGTCCAGTGGCCATGTGCCTGTGCTCTGTGTGGCTGGATACTGTGAGCGTGCTGTGGGGAGTGTGTCTAACTGGTAGAGCCCAYACCATCTCCCTATACCTAAATAATGATGGTGAGAACATATTTGACATTTTTCTTTTCTATTATGTGGGATGAATTCAGTCTTTCACCAAGAATCATAAGATGAGAAGCTCCATAAACACAAGAGTGCATTATTACTAAGAGGGGAAAATGACAGACAAATGCCTATTTCAGACACGTATTTTGTTCTTTCTGAATTGTATGAAATAAAGATTTGAACAAACGCAGACTATTTTTTWATTTATTATTGTAAACACTGTAAAAATAGGTATTTTGATTTTTATGTTGTGTAATTCTCTATACATGAATAGCTTGAATTCATTTTGAACATTCCTTGGTGCAGTAACTTGCTGGCACTTGAACACTTTCGTTAATTATATTTTGAATTGGCACTGTTTTTATTTTTCCCATTTTTCAAATGGGTAAATAGAGGCTTTGACAGAACAAGCATTTTGTTTCAGATCAAACAGGAATAAGTGGAAGAACAGTACTTTGTCCCAGAGCGTATAATTACAGAACCTGTGTTCTTTTTAAAAAWATATTTTAACAAGACACTTTAGTTCTTCCATATCTCCTTCCTATTGTATATTTCACTTCTTTCTTTTCGGGGCTCTAGATTGCACATTCTACTATTCGTTACAGGAAATAGTTCACTTGTGCCTCCTCCATGGCTTGCAAAGACTCATTTATTCCAGCAAATATGCATCAAGGATCTGCCAAAGTCCAAACTCCATGCARGAACTGGGAATGCCACAGAGACTAGAGAGACAGAGGTCCCTACTTTGTAATACTTGGATTCCAGCAGCACATCCATTATTCTTAACTCATTTGCTGCAACACCTGGACATAAGAATCACACTCTGAATCATCAGGAGTTCCCTCTCTTTATTGCAATTCCCTTATGATTCAGTCAGTGTCATCCACACCCCCTGGAGGTCTTAGGATAAAGGAATGATAGTCTCTGATTCACTCAGACTGTTTACATAGTCTTGACAGAAGCCTTAATCAGGTTGAAATCAGCACAAATGGCATTTGGAACATCCCCCACAGGGGAAGAGGATGAGTCCTAGATACCTGATGTATGTCCTCAACAGCATTCAACACTTTCCTCTGTGGCATCTGGGATTTGGACTCTTCCTCTGAATCTGCTGGTGCACTAACAGACCTGAACTTACCACTGTTGAGTCTACACCAAGCCTTTGGGATGCAAAGCTTCCACTTACAGCTTGTCATACAAATCCCATGCAATGTGTTTCCTGACACTTTCAGCACACCTGTACCCTATTAGAGAACCCTGGAGGCTTTAGATCTCCTCTGCATACACCAGGGGGGAAAAAGTGCTTGGTTGGGCTGATATTTTTATATCTTCCACTGTTGGTGAACCCTGGCAGTATTGAAGAAGCTCAACATCAACTGAAGCTCTCAGATTCTCCCCAGGTCTATCTTGGACTCTGTTGGAGTTTCTATCACTTCTGAGCTAGGGCACTCTGGGGATAGAGAAAAGGAATGGCCTTCATTCAATTCTTTGCCTTTCTACCCCTTCCCATCATCTCATAGCACTTCCCAGCTAGAAATGCCACCCTTCTCTCTAGGTAAATGCTGACTTCATACTCTGAGTTTATCCTACCTATTACTTGCAGTAAAATTTTATATTCTTGGTTTTGTGGGATTGTCTTTTAACTTCTGAATGGAGATTCAGACTTTAGAAAATCATTGTTCTCTTTTAACTGCACCTGATTTTTAAGCCCACTGTCATTCAACTAACTGATCAAAGGGGTTTGGTTTAGTCACATCTTCCAGGGTTCTTTTTGTAAAAAACAAACAAACAAACAAACAAAAACACACAGTTACTTTATTGATTTCTTACTGCCAACTAGCATTACTTCCACTTATGCATCATTAAAAACAAAGGATCATTCCTTAGTATTTTTAAGTGATGCATTATATAACAAAGTTAGAACTTAAAATGCACCCTGATTAATTATGTAAACTGGTAATTTTTAAAAATAGAATAACTAATAATTTGGTTCCTTTCTTCATAAAATGGAAATTTAAATACTTCTCCTGATAGTCTTGAGGTTATCATTATATTATTAATGCAAAATGTGGCACATATAGTTTCATCTAGAAAGGTGTATATCCTACACGCCTTACTTAAAGAAACAAAATGTGCATAACAAAATGCATACAGTCAATGCATGATAGAAAGCATGTTTCAAATATATGGCAGGCCCTCAGGCCACCATATTATTTAGGTTTTACATTATTATTTATGGCATTATAGATTAATTATATATAACACACTTTTATACATTTTAACCCTGAAGAAAAATAATTGGTGCTTGAGAAAATTATTCCAGGTACCCATTTGGTTTGTATCAGGAGAAAATGAATCTCCAAGAGTTTACTGTCTACCAGGTGGGAACCCTTAGCTCCAGTGGGTAGATCAGATATGCAATATATTTCACAGTGACTGTTTCCCACATCCTGGCAATGCTGCTCCTGCCAGTCAGCCAGATGGTAAAGCGCATCTGGAATTACCCTTGTATGTGGTTTTCTCTTTTCCATTTTTTCTTCTTTTCAACTGTGTTGCTGAATTTCTTCTGATCTCTCCAAAAGCCTTCTATTTTAATTATTAATAAGTCCTTTCAGAAAATCCTCAGATAGCTCCATAAGTGGAAGTTCTGGAGATGGAAAATCCAAGGGAGGAAGATTGGGTATTGGAATATYCTTGGCTTTCCCAGTATTTGCTGCAAATTTCTGCCAGGTTGAAGAAGCTATAGCAGTGTCTGAATGTGGAGGCAAGCTCCATAACTCTGACTTTTCTACAAAATCAGCATCCACATCCAGCTCCTTATCTACTGGATCTTTTAGAAGTCTGGCTTTTTCAGCCTTTAGTTGTTTATTTTCTTTCCTTAATCTTTCATTCTCAGCCACAAGGAACTCCACATGCCTCTTCAAATCTGCAATTTTGGTTGCCTGCTCCTCGATAATTGTTTTATCATCCTTCAGGGATTTGCTTCCAATATATGGCTCTGTTGGCTCACTCTTTTGCTGAAATAAAAATAGTAGTGTGTCTGGATCTCTGTCAAAGACTCCCTGAATTTCAGGGAGGTGTTTCTCTGTAGAAGGGCTGTACTTCTGAGAAAGAAGGGGACTCTGGCCCTCTGCATCTTTAGCAGAGGGTTTGTGAGATGACTGAAGATGGGTAGCTACATCCTTGTCTGTGTTCTGAGCTTTTGATCGTTCTTCACACTTTGCCCTTTTCCACTTCTCCTGGATGAGGAGGGACTGTTTCATGTGGCTATCCCTTTGTAATTCCAGTGATAAATAACTTGATCAGCTTCATAGCATCAGAAAGATATGTCGCAGCCTTCTTGTGACAAGAAAGAGCCTCTTCGTATTTCCCTGCAGCTAATAAATGGTCTGCTCGTCTGCTCTGCTGATAATCCAGGTTGAGAGGTGCTTCCATTACTTCCATAGACCCTGCAGGAACGGTAGCCTGAGGAAGGGGAGTGGCGGTGAGGGCACATGGAGGGGAGTAGAAGAAGAGCCGCCTCTCAACGCGCCCACAGACATTGTGGTCTCTTCCAGGGTTCTTAAATGTCATGGTTTAGCCTTAATAATGAAGTGGCTACATACAGGAAACATGACTTACAGAGGAGAATAAAATGAGGAAAACTCTGTATTTCCAAAACATGATCCTCATTTCACATCCAAAACACTAGTTAGTTCAGGCTGTTGGATTTTAATCCCTCTCCTTATATCCCATTCATGACTTCTGATAAAGGAGGTTCATAAGAACCATTTTTTGTCCAGTAAGGAGAACGGCCCTGAGGCAGAATTTTCCAGAAAGGAAACTCTTCCAGTTGTGTACCCTACGTGACCTTTGGCCATGACTTCTTAAGCAACAGTTCATTCGATTTTGGCCAGACTCTGCTGGGCTTGAGCCAGACCACATTTGCCTTCAAATGCCACAGTATATTCTTATAAATTTAATAAACTGAAAGATATTCAGTGTGGTTCAAGGGTTCTACTGAAATGTTATGACCTGTGTTTGAACAGGTCACTGACCCTCTGTATGCATCAGTTCTTTCTTCCATCCATAGGCTTATTTTAGAGTTTTTATGATGGTCCCCCAAGGTTCTGAACACATAGAACATCTAGTGCATCATGGGGCTGAATGGATATGAGTTTTTCCTGTTCTTTCCCAGCACCTTTTCTTACATATTTCATCATTACTGGAAATCTCAGGGAAATGGAATAGTGGAGTTTGCCTGCTCTCTGAGATGCTCAGGCAGTACCAGCATACTCAATGTCTACATATGAACCTGATTCAACAGGAAATGATGCCAAACCAAACATTGGGGGCACTGTTACTGGCATCTGGGGGTGCAGTTGATATCCATCAGACTCCCTTTCCTGTTTCCTCTGATAGGGAGGCTTCAATGTGTGGAAGACAGGAAGTGCTGCAAGCTGGGGCTGACGCCTAGCAGGGCTCAAGACTGGAGGAGGCAGTTCCATGTTGGGGAGGATGAGGTCACAGACATGTCCAGGGGCGGGGCATGTGTGCTCATTATTTTTTTCTTTAATGCATGATAGGTTCTTAGGGACATTGTAGTAGATAATGATATTTTCTTTTTGTATGTATTTCATATTAAGTACCAGAGGGAAGTAGGCAGAATTATATACCTCATAGGTGGAATTCTTTGCCTATAACTGATGCTGAATTCCRGTCGTTTTATTTTTTGTTACTCCCCAAATACATATAGATCCTCATGATCCTGATTTGGTGTTTTTCAGTACCTGAGTATGTTTAAAAAGTTGTATCTGACTTTGGATTAGACATAAAGGAGTGAAGGGAGGGGAAGAGGTATGGAGGTAGAAAGTATAGTAGAATGAATCAGACATTATTACTGTATGTGTGTGCATCTGTGATTACACAACCAATGAAACTCTACATCATGTACAATCAGAAGAATGAGAAGTTATACTCCATTTATGTTTGATGCATCAAAATGCTTTCTACTGTCATGTATAACTAAGTAGAACAAATAAAAAGAAAAGTTGTACCTAAATATCCTGCAGTAAAGACATGTGTTTCATTTCTAATACAGAAATAAATGTTTCCACTTGCTCCCAGTGTATTTATCCAATATTTACTAGAAACAAAAGAATACAACTTGCATTTTCAATAAAATTATAATATTCCAGAAATAAAATAGCATTTAAAAGAATATCCCTCAACCAATTTGAGAAATAGAGGAACAAATTCACTCTCCTTAAGTGAAGAGCAGATGAATATTTGTACCCATAATATCTTGTCTTTCATGATCTGTGGGGAAAATGGTTATAGAGATAGGGAACTAGATCAGGAGGTGCCAGGCCAGGATTGGGTGGTACAATTTCTACAATGTCAACAGAGAAAATTGGYATCTCCGGACTATATACCCACATCTCTCATTTCTGAGATTGCTAATTGGTCAGCAACACATGGAGCATTATCCATATTATATGACAACAAAATAATCAATTCATTTGCCAAAGTAAAAAGTTATATACTTAGTTATCTATTGGTTCTTAGAAACTTGAGATTCCTTTTTGTTTTTCTTGTTACTTTATCAGGATTATTTAGTTGATTTTATGGAGAATTTTGCCCAAGTTACCAAATCTCTTATGACTGCATGCCACCTGTGGACTTCTTCAGGTGAGGTCACCTCTGGTCTCTATGCCCACCAAACCCTCAAGATATAGGTTAAGCCCTTTCATCACCCCACAACAGAGCTCTGCTCTGGACCCATATTGGCACCAGGACGTGGAGAGACGCTGTGGTGTGGATGTGGGAGAGCTGACTCCCTGCCTCCTACCTGGGAGAAGGGCACATTGTCATGACACTCCCAACAGTGCTTTATAGAGAAAGTCTGCAAAACAATTGCTTCAGGGATTCTATGGGTTCCCATTATATGCAAGCTGGACATAGCTCATAACTGACCTGATTGGAGTTAACAATTTTGTTGACCTCTTGGAAAATCTGTGGATAGTATATCTAGTCAGGGCTTCCTGAGCCTCTGCATTGTTGATATTTGGGGCTAGATAAAGCTTTGTTACAGTGGTAGAGGAGGGATGTTCTCCTATGGGATGTTTGGTAGCGTCTCTGGCCTCCATTCACTAGATGTCAGTGCTGCTCCCACCCCACTGTGGTTGTAAAAGTTGTCAGACCTTACAATGTCCCCTGGATCTAGGAATGCTTGGAGTTCAGACTACAAGTTTAGCTATCTTTTTAGGAAGCTAATAAGACTTAATACCTTGAGATTTTTGTATTAGTCAAGGCGGGAACAAAATGAAACAGCAGCTAAACATCATATAAATTTCATATTCACCCAAGAGCAATATCATTTAATTGGCATTCTACCACTGAGTTACATCCCCAGCCATCCCCAATTTTTTAATGTTTTAATTTGAGAGAGGGTCTCACTAAGTTACTCAGTCATCCTTGAAGTTGAGATCTTCCTTTCACAGCTTCCCTGAGTCTCTGAGCCCACCAGCATTTGCCACTGCACCCAACTACCACCTCTTTTCTTGAGAAATAGGAGTGGACACATAACAACAGTCCCTCAGTTGTACTGCCTTACTTCATTAGTTACCTATCGCTTTCATATACATGTTGCTAAATTCTTTTTGCTACATCAGGACTTGTTTTGACTGATCGTTATATCATTTTAGTGAATCAATTAGAATTATTTCTCTCTAGGGAGAACTCTATAAATATTGGCTGTCATTAGGAGATAATTCTTATTAGAGATCTTAGTGGAATGAATGAAAAATAATAAAATGAAACCGTAATTCCTTACCTTGGTACATGTAAACATGCACCAACTTCCAAAACACTTTTATATACGTTGGCTTATTCTACCTAATCAATGATATTTTGAATCCAAAGGAAGTCCCAAAGGGAATGAACTGGAACTCTATTACATTTCTTAAACCAAGTCTACTTGGTGTGCCTCAAAAGGGAGCAGGAAACCAGCCAGTCCTTTTCATTCCTCTTCTGCCTGCTATGAGTTTGACTTGGTGATTTCTGACTGTTGATGCCCTCAGCTATGAAAACGAGATAAACACACCTACCTCCCAGCAATAATTTAAGGAGGGAGCTGGACACAGCTCATGGTATAACATTGGTGCTCAGTGGATTCTGCACACTGTACCTTTGTGCTCCTTCCTCTGCCTCCTTRTTGAAGGAGGTTTAGCACAGAGCTACTGTTGTGAGGCCTAATTTTGGATTAGGAATCTGCTTTTTATTTGGCAAACRTTTCCTTGAATTTCATGGCTCCATGGAGCCTACCAACGATCCACTCATTTCTGTCTTCTCAGGGAACTTAGATACATAACAAAGACTACATAATCAAAGAATCATTTGTTTAATTCTTTCTTTCCTTTCAGGTACATAGTGAATAGCATAGCTCTGCTCCTACCATTATTTATCTAATTACTGAGGATGTTTGATTGTTGTAGTTATGCTTCATCTGTATTTGGGGTAAAAATGGGAGTTCATAACTCACTTGAAACTAATGTTTGAAATATGATATGTCAAGAGCTTTGTAAGGTTTTGAACAACCAATAAAAAATAAATTAAAAAAAAGTTGGAATTCTGTTTCAACACTTTTCATTAAAGGATCAAATTCCCTATTGGTATATATTTGTAGGCATGCATTCTGCATCTGCATGAATATACAGAGAAGTCTGACCCTACAACTTCTCTTTATCTTTTATTCTAGTTATTTCTGGGTCAGTGTGTGGTGGTGTGGTGGGGAAAAGGGTAAGTTTTAATGACAAAGTTGCCTTTAAATCTATTCTCTGCTATTAACAATGTCTTCTTGACCTTGGAAGTTGTTGTCACACTGAATCCCAAGTTCCTCATCTAATAGAGGGGATGATAGTCTCTAACTAAGACAAAAACATATAAAATTGAGGACCTGACACCCATTTGGTCCTCAGCCCATGTCAGGTCCTCCTTGGGCAGTTACAAGGGAAGCAGAACAAAATGTGGTCATCTCGGGCAAGGCTTCCATTTGGGTATGTCCTAAACTTCCTTTTCCATCCACCTTGAATAAATGTCTGTGCTCCACAGAAGGTTGAGTGTCAGAGTTGATGGTCAAGGGGCATATTTTTGTGCTGCATCTTGATACTTTTCTGTTTGTTCAATAGCATATTTTTATTACATCTTTTTTCTCATTCTAAAACAAAACAATACAAAACCTGCTCATAACCCAGAAGTAGAAAAAACAGATTGTATAGCAACATTTTCTGGATACTGTTTCTAAGTTAACACTCAATTGAAGCATCAATTTGAATGACTTCAAGTGACCCTGAAGAACTGTTGAACCTAAGGCTGCAGGTAAAGAAATGAACATCAAGAAAACAGCAAAATTCAGTTGCCCCTGAAACGTCTCCTTAGAAAAATTTTGCAGTCTTTTGTTTTTC